CACACGCACACACACACACACGCACACACACACACACACGCACACAGGAAGACGCGTACAAAACCGATTCAAACTTTTTAAACCATCACATCAGATTTGAATACACATGTAGATCCCTGTATCATTTCACATGAGTCAATCATCCCCCCTCCCTCCACCACTCATCACCTGCTTACCCCTCGCTGTGAAACTCCCTGGGTAGAAAACACTCGATAATAACTCGAAGTTCCTTCAAAAAAACCTTCTATTTGACTCGGAAAGCCCATGTCCATTCAAGACGAAATGCATAAAATGCTAACTACATACTTCATTCCGTTTCAAAGTAGCCTTGACACCGAAGCAGGAGAGATCACTGTTCGGAATGTGGGACTGGTAAAAAACCGATTTTCAATTCAACGGTTCAAGAATTATCTGAGAAATTCGGAAATGGGGTTTTGTTCATACAAACAAACATCACAACAACTAAGGTACAGATCGAAACGCAAGAACGATTAATTACAGCCAGCAATTTTGCATCCTCTCAGTATAGTGTAAAAATAGCGAACTTATGACTAGAAATGAAAGCATACGATTTGGAAATCTATAGCAGCATCGCAAATGGTTATTAAATTCCATAAGTTTCATATTTTTAGTTCTGGAACAGATTTAACCTGCTCGACAACAGTCTACAGAGACAAGTTCTCGCCATAATAGGTTTTGCAACATTTGCAAAAAAAGCAAAAAAAAAAAAAAAAACTGTAGACAAAAACGCTACGAATATGTTGCCATTTTCTAGAAAAATTATTGCATCGACCATGCAAAATAAAAGAAATTTCACCTCAATAAAGCTATCGATATCAGCCAGTTGAATATCCAATGGGAATTCGCCTTTTTCGATGTCATTTACTGCAGCACTACTTCCAATGTAGCCCAATGATTCCTACAATTTGCCTCAATTTTGCAAAGCAATGTGACCGACATTCTGAGGCAAACAATTGCACAAAACGAGCAAGGTAAAAACAGGAATTATCATCACGTTCCCTCCCTTTTTTTTTCTAAAGGTTTTTCGTTTCCATTTTTATCAGCGATTCACCCGAAGCTCACCGATATAATGTCGCTGGAAGAGCTTATTCCGGTCCAAAATAAGCAATGTTCCTATTAAACCGATGGAAATTTCCTTCCGAAAAAGATAAAGCCCAAAAATGAAGCAACTAAAGAAATCACACAGCCAAAAACGACTCACTGAATTCTTTCTTTAGCAATTTTCATTTTGATAAAAATCTAGGCTGTTATAATGTACATAAAAATTACACCGTGAAAGAAGGCAAAAATGATGGCTCGTCCGTAGCGTTCCGCCAATTTTTCGATTTCTGACAAATTACTGCCCAATGCTTTGGCAACTGCCAGAAGACTGGTAAGTGATGTCAGAACGGAAACTTCACCAACGGCTGCTTCGGTGAACGAACTGAAGGAATCCATCTATAACATCTCAAAAAAGATGCATCCCTTCTATTATTATTATTCTACACATTACATCAATGACGTCGCGAAATGGAATGCTTTTCTAGAATTTGAACTTTCCAAAATCTACAAGATATGTAACGTCTGCTTTAGTTAGAAAAGTGGGAAAGAGGATTTAGTAGTAGCAAAAATCTGAAAGAAATGATGATTTCGAAAATAAACCAAGGAGATCTTAAAACGGTTAAAGCTTCATCAAGTGTTTCGTAGGAAAGATATTGAGTTGGTAGCAAGTCTTTTAGGGAGAAAGCGGAAGGGAGGATTGCCAGCAGGCTGCTCATGACGATGTAATATTGTTTAAAGCAGCTAGAAAGGTTACCTACTGCAGAGCTGGAGAAGCACAGAATGAATATTACAACTAATACAAATATATGGTGCCCCTACTTTTTGCTGAGAGTATCTTTTTCAGTATACAATAACCGTATAAAAAGCGGCTAGTTTATATGTCATCAATTTAAAAAATGCTGCTTTTTTAACACTGATCGAAACACGTCCAGCAAAGGGACCTGTGAGACATTTTGTCTTTTTTTCACTAAGCTATTTTCTCTTCCATCACAATTTTACAAGAACGGCGCCATGTAGTTACTTCCAAATGTGACTCCAAGTGGGTCACCGAAACAATGTGTTCTTGTAACTCCTGTATGATCTGCTGCTGGCTGAACTCCAACGTGTGATAACTCTTTAGCGCTACTAGCTGGTGGGCTGAAGATGCACACAACAGTAAAGGGAATATGATCCAGAAAAAAGCGAAGAAAGAAAGTAGAGAAACAAAGCCAGAATCAACCGTAGGCTAACGATGATGCAGCTTCGCTCAAAAAAGCTAGGGACAAAAAGCTGGCAGCTGATTGAAATATTAATGTAACAGCTCAACTCAAATTACCACATTAAATACTGTGATTTTTGCTGAGCATTACAAAAAGTATTTGTTAAAACCCAAAAAACTATCCGTTAGCGTATCGATATCACCTCAAACACAAAGTAAAGTGGG